ATATTTACTGGTAGAAAAGAAAATTCATAATCATATACCTCCAATATCTGGTCACCAGCCCAAAGTCTTCCATCTCTGGCTGCCGCGCCTTCCTCATAGACTTCATGTATAACAATAGCATCCTAAAAAAACCAAATTCTTATTAATTTTCGTCAACCACAAATGCTTCCTTAAGCAAACCACCAAACCATAGGCAGCAACCCATAATTTGCTATTTGCTAATAATGTGATATTTTATTTGACCTAAAGACAAACAAAATACGCAGTTATGACATATTCAGGGGTATAATAAATTTTTCCTAAGTTTATGATTTCATTCCTTTAGGCCTGGATTTGCCTAATATTTTAAGTTAAATATCCCCCATGTGTTTTACTGTTAACCCTATACATTGCTGCTGTGTATGAACTTGAGGTGAACTATGTGTCATTCTTATTTATATTTTATGGTATATTTTGAAACATGGTTTCAGGTATTTATTGGTATTCAAGGATTTGGCATAGATGTGTGGCCCGATAAGGGGGTTTGTCAGGCCTCATTACTTAGGCAATGAAAGAAAAGAACTTAGTGGAATGAAGTGGCCCTGGAGGGCAGAGCATGGAGTAGGGGAGACAGCATTCATGGACACAAGTGTAAGACAGCGGTGGGTTTGAATGAAAGTTAATTTTGGGCAAATTAACTCCTAAACTCAGCATTCTGAACCTTAATTAGGACAATCTCTTCGGTAGGTACACTTTGGTTGAGGAAAGCGTTGCACGGTTAATGAATTAAAAAATGATTTGTATCTCTTCAAGTGAATAATCTTAACTTTTTTATCATAAAAATAATATGTACTAATGTAAAGGACTCAAGCAATACCACAGGGCATAGTAAACAGAGAAAGAGACTGGTCTCCCACACCAGGCCCTCAGTGACACTTCCTGGAGACAACTACCATCAACAGTTTAGTTGGGATCCCTCCAGACAATTTACATCTATACACCCAAATATTTATACATTTTGGAGAGACCATTTTAAAAGTATTCATTTGCGTTTGTTCACACAACTTCCCCACTTGCGTTGAGCAAATAGCCAAGCTTTGAAATTTTTTGCCTTGGGGACTTTTGTGGAGTTGAAAAATGAAGTAACTAGAAGTCACTGGTTCTTTCTATTGTTTATAAAACTGATAGGCACTGAAATACTGTGGGATGGATTATGCTAGGTGTCCTGGAGGGCTGCTGGGAGAAGAAAGAGCTTTTGAGTGGAGGCTACAAACAGATCTGTGGGTACCATGAGAAGTGAGGATTTGAGCCCTGCATTGTCCAGTGCCCTCCCATTCCCTGCACCCCCCGACCCCCCTAATAAACACACAGGTTTCAAGACCCCACAGGCAATGGTCTATGTATAATGATCCAACCCTGAAAGAAGTCCTGTGTCCCAAGCACTGGGGCCTGGAAGCAGCAGGACTTCTGGTCTTGAAGACATCACGTAGGATTGGATACGTATGGGCTTGATGACTGCCAGGGCGGACCAATGACAATGACCGCAGAGGCCTACCCATGTCTGGGATCTTTGTGAAGAGACCAGAACCCTGAGAGTTAATGAGCCACCAAAATGACTAAAGCTGAATTATTAAGGCTCCCAGATGTAGGGAGCCTCAGCATTAGAATTAAATGAACATGAAGTAAATAAATGATTTCTTGCAAAAATATAACAAGACAGGAAAAAAAGAATCCTAAGCAAACTTATTTCCTTAAAAAAAAAGATTCCTACACAAATTCTGGCGTAGAGAAGCAACAAAAGAAAATTAGAGGTCTATAACCACATGACCCATCTGGGTTCCAAATATCTTTACAATATTAAATATTTTCATTTTATCGCCACACAGCTCTGAAAACATTCTTTATTACAGCAATTAGAGAGGCAGCCCCCAAGAGCCAGGCAGGGTTCCTTGATCCAGACAATTTACATTTCAGATGCTGTACCAGCAACAAATTTAGACCATTCTTTGCTGCAACTCACTTATGAAATTTCCAGACCTGGGGAGGATTTACACTGCCAAGAGTTTGTTTCCTCGGAACTGTTTCAGGGGAATGGTTTTGAGGAAATGTGCTGGGTCAGTGGCTTCAGGTGATCCCAACAACACCGCCAAGATGTTACCAAGGGACATTTTTATGAAGCTTGTAGGAGGAACTAATGCAAGCTCCTGGTAACACCCTGTGTAATGCTAGTTTTCAAAGTTTGGTGGTCAAATACTCCATCCTCACTGGATGGGGAGAAAGAATCAGGCTGAACTCATACTACACATGTTTTTTTTACAGAGCTTAATTTTCAGCATAAACTCTTTTGATCTTGGAACATTACAAAAAGTCAAATGGGAAATTTCTCTTCATTCATACTCAAAAGGAAGGAAAAGACATCATAAAGTTTTTATTCCATAAAAGTAGCCTGAATTCTTAGACACTTTCTGGGTGCTCAATGAACTATATACATAAAATAAATATACTGTTAATAGTCTCAAATAAATGCTGAACTCGCTGCCAATGATCTGTTTTTGGTCCATGAGTCTTTCTGTCTGAAAAACTCCCCATTTATTTATTTCCTTTTGCTTGACTACTGCTCTGATGTCTCTTAAAGTTAGCAGGGAAAATACAAGAAAACATGAGACATTCTGGCCGACCATTAGAAAAAGGCCACATTTCTTGCCACATGCCCTTGTGTGCTGGAAATGTTCTATGAAACTGGTTCTGGACAGCTGCATTCACTGGGGGTGACAGAGGTGAGACGTGGGGACCAACAGTTCAATTAGAAAAGTGGGCTGGTCACTTGAAAAGTAAAATGGATTTGATTTATTCTTCAAAAGCTATATAGTTCATTAAGTAGGACAGAACAGTAAAAAAGATACTAGATGGGGCTATATTAACCATCTACTTGACAAAGCTAACGTTCAAATTTTACTTCTGGCTTTGGAGAAATTGTGATTAGGTGAAATAATGGGTCATTAATGAAAGACTGACTCCTATTTTAAATAAAACATTTAGGCATTCCTTCACCTTAGAAAACTTCAGTGACTCTGTGTACCAATACCAATGACTTCTTTTAAAACTCATCAATCTCTTTCAGAAGCAGCCAAGTGAATTTCTTGCTTGGGGTGGGTTACTGTCTTCTGCTGAAGAGAGGCTGACAGACACATGATTATGAGCTAGGTCTCTGGAGTCAAACTTATCAGTCCACATCCTGGCCCTGCTACCTCTCTGACTACTTCACAACCTTGGGAAGACTGTTAACTTCTCCAGGCCTTAGTGTCCTCATTTTGTATGGTTTTAACAATATTATTTACACAAAAGGCTTTATGGACAGTTCCAGCACATAGTCAGGGAGTGATAACATGTCATNTTAGTGTCATGAGGATTAAATAAAATAAACCCTGTAATGCATTCGGCACAGGGCTTGGCACACAGTTAAGCTCGATGTAAGTTCGAGGTTGACCTTCTACCAGGAATTAAAATAACTGCAATCAGGGCTATTTTCCCTCAGCATCAGCATTCACTGTGATTTTAGGCCCATGAACGCATTCTCACTGTCGGTGAGGGGAAACCACAGAACAAAGGGGAAAACAACATCTCTAGAAAATGTGGTCTGAGCTGATTATTTTCCTATATTCCAATAGATGGCACACAAGACCACTTCTGTTACTCAGTTGGAAAAAAGTTACCCCCATGGATTGAAGGTGAATTCTCTAAGCCTCTAAAATACCTTTTGAAAGGCCCTAACATTTATACTTTTAATTAAAAGCATTGTCATTAAGCTCTAATATTACAAAAGCAATTTGTACCAAATTCTAGCATCAAGATGTCTGCTCAAATCAAAACCCTCTGCTCTCAGTTCAAAGTTTTCATTTCCTCCTCTGCTTATCAAGAGATACCACCAAAGGCACAATACGCGTAAGAAAGATATCACTTTATGGCTAAAATATTGTGGAGTGATGTATTACCTTAAGTGCCTTACAGAAGCACTCTATGCATTATTTAGAACATTGATTATAGAGGCGTAGGGATGGAAATACCAGAGCTCCCTATTTGAGAAGAAAAGCTACAGGAAGTCTCAGTTGTCATTGGGAGTGTATCAGGTCCCTTGGGTAGGACGGGCAAGTGGAAAGGTGGGTGAACCATCGCTTTAGAAAGAAAGAATACCCAAAGTAGGGCAGCCGTTCCTCATTATTTTATTCCACAAGGAAAACCAGGCATTGGCTCTCTACTCTCTCTGCTCTCCCACATAAAAATAGAAGGGAACAATGGGAGTAGAGGTAGGGTAAGAGTAGGAATGGACCCTAAAAGGAGAACCAGAAAAAAGAAAGTCTATGCTAATCACAGAATCATAAATCTTACCATGCTAAAAAATTATTTGACTATATATTTGTAAATAAAATCTGGCTTGTCTTAAGTAGAACATGAGGGTGGTATTAAAGCTATGGAAGACCAGCTTGCACAATGCAGAGGACTCTTATGAACAGTAAGTCCACTGTTTAGAAAAGCACTGATGTAGCATTGCCTTGTTTCATGGTCTTAAAACACACCACATCAAAGCCGGCATGTCTTCTTCTCAAGGCAACCTGCAGGCCACAGGCTGATTATGCATCTGTACTTAGCAACCACAATTAGAGCCAGTCCAAATGTGGGGTCTAAAGCTGTTTAGAAAGGAAACGTGTTGCTTGACCACACTAAGTGCTATATTTATTAATTAAACATGCGATATATTTTTATGGACTAGATCCTGTCTGGGGTAAGAGAAGAGACTTCCCTGCTCATCTTTAATGAGAAGTGGAGACTATCCATCCATATTGGGTAATATAATTTGGCTAGATGCCAGGAAGTGGTTTATTTGACCTTTTAAATAAGATCTCTTTCCACTTAAAACAAATTTGCTTTCTTTATACTAACCTGTCCTGAGTGTTCACTTGTACATGAATATACTTTATGGAAGACAGCAGTTATAGCTGAGGGTCTCTCCAACACAAATAGACATAAATTTTTTTATGGAGGTGTCACTGTTATAAACTAAACTAACCATATTTAAAGCATACAATTTGTACTCCTAATTTATGTGGATTGACCTGTGTAACTATTGTCACAATCAAGATAATGC